GTTTTTAATCCCTTATTTGGGGGGTGGGAATTGAGGGGGGGGGCGAAAAAATATCAAAGGACCCCCCCCCCAAAAAAAATCCCGGTGTTTTTAATCCCTTATTTGGGGGGGGGCACCCCAAAACTATAAAGGGACCCCCACCCTCATTAAAAAAAACACCCTCAGTTTAATTCTCCCTAATTGAGACACCCCCCCAAAAAAAAAACCCCAAACACCCCCCCAAAAAATAAACCCAAATTTCCACAGAAATCCCCAAATTTCCCCCCAAAAATCCCCAAATTTCCACAAAAATCCCCAAATTTCCACAAAAATCCCCAAATTTCCACAGAAATCCCCAAATTTCCCCCCAAAAATCCCCAAATTTCCACAAAAATCCCCAAATTTCCAAGAAGCATTTGGGGGGGGGGGAGGGGCAGGAGACCCCTCCCCTAAATAAAACCCCCAAAATCCTCCCCTAAAAGACCCCAAACCCCCATTTTTTCCCCCAATTTTTCCCCCGAAATTCCCAAATTTGGGGATTTTTTTCCCTCCCCCGTAATTTTTTTGGGGATGAAAGGGAATTTTTGGGGGGGGGTTATTTTGGGGAGGGGTCTCCTCACCTGGGTCTGGATGCGGCTCAAGCCCCTGACCCACAGAACCTTCCCCCGGCGCAGCTCGGCCGCGTCCAGCTCGGAGCGGTCAGCGCGGTCCGAGCCCTCCGGCCACCGAGAGCCACCGGGGCACTGCGGACCCCCGGGGACACTGACCAGGACCTGGGGGGCACCCGGGGGTCACCCAGGGGTCACCCAGGGGTCACCCAGGGGTCATCGGGGTCACCCAGGGGTCACCCAGGGGTCAGTGAGGTCACCCAGGGGTCACCCAGGGGTCAGTGAGGTCACCCAGGGGTCACTCAGGGGTCATCAGGGTCACCCAGGGGTCAGTGAGGTCACCCAGGGGTCACCCAGGGGTCAGTGAGGTCACCCAGGGATCAGTGGGGTCACCCAGGGGTCACCCAGGGGTCAGTGTGGTCATCCAGGGGTCAGTGCGGTCACCCAGGGGTCAGCAGGGGTCAGTGTGGTCACCCAGGGGTCAGTGAGGTCACCCAGGGGTCACCCAGGGGTCAGTGAGGTCACTCAGGGGTCAGTGCGGTCACCCAGGGGTCAGTGTGGTCACCCAGGGGTCAGTGAGGTCACCCAGGGGTCACCAGGGGTCAGTGTGGTCACCCAGGGGTCAGTGAGGTCACCCAGGGGTCACCCAGGGGTCAGTGAGGTCACTCAGGGGTCAGTGAGGTCACCCAGGGGTCAGTGTGGTCACCCAGGGGTCAGTGCGGTCACCCAGGGGTCAGCAGGGGTCAGTGTGGTCACCCAGGGGTCACCCAGGGGTCAGTGAGGTCACCCAGGGGTCAGTGTGGTCACCCAGGGGTCAGCAGGGTCACTCAGGGGTCAGTGAGGTCACCTGGGGTCACCCAGGGGTCAGTGTGGTCACCCAGGGGTCACCAGGGGTCAGTGGGGTCACCCAGGGGTCACCCAGGGGTCAGTGGGTCTGGGGGTTCCCTGGGTGGGGGTCCCCATTCGGGTCATGGGTCCCCATTCGGGTCAGGGGTCCAATTTGGGTCTGGGGTCCCGTTTGGGTCTGGGGTCTCCGTACCTGGCCCCAGACGAGCTCCCCCACGCCCACGAAGAGGCACCAGAGCCACTGCTCAGCACTGAGGGGGGAGCAGCTGAACGGCTTCCCCCCGAACTGCACAATCAGCACCTGGGGGGACAGGTAACACACCTGGGTACACCTGGATACACCCTGACACCCCCCGAACTGCACAATCAGCACCTGGGGGGACAGGTAACACACCTGGGTACACCTGGGGACACCTGGGGACACCCTGGGACACCTGGACA